TGACTCCCACCAGGTGTAAGCATTGCCATCTAACATCGCTACTGCACCCAGATATCTCTTAGTTGGGTCCAAACCTAACTGATCCATACGTCTCTCAGTATCCTGGTGCCAATCTACTGCTTCAGTAGAAACTCCACCAATCTGTCCTCCAAAAGTTCTGACTCCATTGGCGATCAGAGTCTGAGAAATAGGCACCTCGGATCCCACACCAGCAGCTATGACCACTTATTGAATCAACTGTAGAAATTGTCTACAAAAATTTTCATCGAATGCAACTCTGGTAGAATCAGACTCAATATCGGTCACTCCTATGGTCGGTGTAGTCATGCCAATACCAGCAGTAGGAGGCAAATTTGTCGGGGTCGTAAGAGTAGGATCACCTGTCGGAGGTGGGGGATCTACTCGAATCCCATCAATTGGGTCTGTAAATCTAGCCACTCGACCTTGTCAACGGCTTGTTCAACGTCCATGTCTAGTACTCATTTTGGTGGATCTCGAGTTTACTACAGAAGATAAAACTTAGGGTTAGATAAGCACTTGGAGTCTCGAACACAGTTAAAACCGTAAAAACTTTGTGACATGGCCTTAGAAACTTGTTTTGTAAAATATTTCAAAATCGTAATTTCAATTTGGACTCATACACAGTCCGAGGATTAAAAACCAAAAGCTCTAATACCAATTAAATGTAACCCCCTAGACTCGGCCTATACGTTTCGACTAAGTCTAGTGGATCACATTCATGATTCTTAAAGACGTTTTCCAAAACCGTTATTCAATCAATGAAAAATCACGTTATAAATGACATTTATGAAATTATAATAGATTATACTATAAAAACTCAATTCATAAATATAACATTAAAAAGTAACAAATTAATTTAAAACATGTCTTAAAAATCCAAATTACGATAAACCGAATATAAATAGCAAAAGAGTAATCATTATAAAATCTAATACTTTAAAATAAGGCCCATGTTTCGATAGTAAAGTCAACTTGCATGATAAAATCATTACATTCAGATGTACTTCAAGAGATATGTTGATCCTCCAAGTGCTTGATCCGGGGTACCTAACCAACAATATCTGAAAGGGGAAAAACATTTTCGAAAAGTGAGCTAGGCTCAGTGTGTTCCAACAGTACAATAAAATCATAGTAGGTACAGTAAACGAGTATAGTTCATAAAATCATCATAAAATCATAATGAAGTTTAAATTTTGTAACTTGTAGTTTAAAACCCTTCTCCTGTACACATCCACAATTCCCCAAAACTGCGTCCGTAGGGCTACCTTAAGCACACAGCAAAAAGGAAGCCAACCTAAGGATAGGCTTTGAGGCATGTATCCTTAGATCCTTAGGGCTTACCCTAAGCACACAACAAAGGAAGCCAACGTAATGGAACGTCTTGGATCCCAAGAGCCTACCCAAACGTCACATTAGGTCCATAAGTTTACCAGCTTGATCAAAGCTATACCTCCGTAATGCAATCCAACCAAAATCAGTATTTCAAAAATACAATTTATGCAATAAGCATAATTCCATAATTCCATAATCAATGTTATCATATACCAATGAAAACCAATAATCATATATCAGTCATATTCCATAAACCATCACCAGTAAATAGGCGGATCAATAAAACATTAAACGATGGCTTTCAATGTACCATATTTCAAAACATATAAAGCAATCAAGTAGTACATATGGAACACACCTCGATAATATGTTCAAATAGTAGATCTAGTGATTGATGGCCTCGCCACCTCTGCACCTAATTCATAATAACACTATATTACTAATGGGTAACATAATTAATTTCTAAAATCATAAAAGTTACGGGATATACGGGTGAATACTGGTACATGTGGTTTAACAAATCTAGAGGAGCTGGGTCGAGCTGTCGAACGATCAGGAGAGTCTCTTGTACCTTCAAACAATAACAATTTATCAGTCTCAAGTCTTACTTAATTATTTAAAGCTAAAACTCTTAAGTATATAAGCAATTTTTGGGTTTGACTATCAATTTTGGAGGCTTTCGAGTCTGAATTTGACCAAATGGATTGCGGAATCGAAATCAAGACGACAAAAAACATAAATATGACTTTTCGAAAATTTGAATTCTTGGTCAAATTTAAAGTCAACGGGTTTGACTGACGATTTGGAGGCCTTCGGGTTTGAATTTAGAAAAACGGACTTCGGAAACGAAGTCGGGACGTCAAAAAATGTCAGGATAGGTATAATCGGAAAAAGTCAAAGGTCGTTTAGTGGCCAGTCAACGCCGGTCAAAGTTTTGGTCAACAGTGCTCACAATACAATTAACTTTTACAAAAATAACACCCTAACAAAATTAATTACGAAACTAACACCCTTTTAAAAATATTTACAAAACTAACATCATTTTAAAAATATTTACGAAACTAACACCCTTTTAAAAATATTTATGAAACTAACACCTTTTTAAAAATATTTACGAAACTAACACTCGGGTCGGGTCAAACCGGTTCAAATGCATAGTTAATAATAAACCATTTTTCATTAAAAATAAATATCATTAAAAAGTATAAAAATCATAAAATTCTTAGTAAAATATTTAATTAACCGAGCATATCCGTATAAGTCTAAAAAAAACTTATTAAGCACTTGTCCATACATATTAATTAAATGCAGTATATCAACCCAAGAAGCCAACACCATCACATGGCCTCGTCAGTTCCATTTCTTGTCTCCATAAACGAACTATTTCGAATGGGGTACCGCCAATTCGTTTATATGACACTGAATCTTAACAATTAACACACGATCTTGCACTTTTATGACATTAATTTCACAACAATGTTTGCTGGAATTCACAGATGCAATATAGACCAGGGATAGAGCTTATTAATATCTAAAATTATTTAATGAGATTTTGACATACTTACTAAGCTCTGTTCAAAATTTTGAACGGCGGAGAGCTCGATTCTAAAACGTCAGAAACTTTAAATCAAAATTCACGGCGTTCGACAACGTTTCGCTATAATTGGTTTACTGAGTTTTGTTTACGGGTTGAGGATGAACACGATGGTGGTTTCAATTTGACGATCGAAAATCGGACGGCGTCGGGATCGAACTTGAAAGGAGGGGTGCGAGAGAGTAAAGTTTTGAAATTGTTTCTGGTATGAAACCAGAAAACACATTACACATATTTATGTTTAAAAGCTGCCTATACTTCTTGGAGGAATTCAGGGCTTGGTCCTTGGATTTCTTTCAACTTTTAAAATGGTCACAAGTTTTAAAAACTTCTAATTTAATCTTTAAATTTCGTCAAATTACTTAATTAATATTTTTTTCCTTCAAATTTTCCGGGTTGTTACAATTAATATTATTATTCCATCATATTTGTGTTGATTTGATACGAAATAAAAATTTAAGGGTTAAAAGGAACCGGACAAAAGTTTAAGGGTTAATGACTAAAATAATAAAGTTAAGGGGCCAAAAAGTCATTCAACCTTTAGAATTCATAAATTAAACTTATAGTATAACCATGAATTGTGATGTGATAATTGTTCCTTCGTCCTTTAATTGTGAAGTCAAGAATCCAGTATTTACTTTGAGATTGAAACATATTTAATATTTGTAAAATTGATAAAATTCGGAGAAATATCTCATAAAGTTTTCATCTGTAGATTTTAGTTGATTGTTCTCGTCGAGCTCTAATTATGAACAATAGAATCTTTTTCTTTCTTTCTTTTATTTTCCCTTCTAGCTTTATTGCTTTTGAGGCGAAAAGAAGAAGTGGCTCACAGTGCACATACCTACTAGAAGAAAGGGAAAATGAATTTATATTCGTTTATTAGTCTTGGTATTATCAGTATACTATAAATTTAATCTTTACATTTTAATTTTAGTCACAGTTGAAATAATGAATGTGAAATCTAGTCAATTAAATTCTATTATTTGTTCATGTACTATGATGTATGTATTTAAGCATTATGAATTTTAATAATATTTGAGATTTAATTATATTCCACACCAGTCATGTTTAATATTATGCAAGTAGCTGTAATTGATACAAAGGAAAAGTGAAATGCTAGGTGGCTTGGTGTGTTTCAATATTTTTTTTTATGGTTGTCCTCTTTAATCTTGATCGATTCGGGTTGTACTCTTATTCTTTTAGATGAGTCTTACAATAGAGATTTTTTACATACATAAGGACTCGAACTTGAGACCAATTTAAACGATATCAAATTGTTTACCACTTGAACCAACCTCGTTGATATGTGTTTCCATATTCTCTTAGAAAGTTTGCATCCGTATTTCTTTACACATTGTTTTTGTCATCAACATCTCTACATATGCAAATCTAATATCCCACATAATATATTTAATCTAGTATATGAAATTTACCAAATTAAAGTCATTATTTTATATTTTAGTTATTATATAACTGTTCAATTTAGCATGGGAATTTATTCTTTCGGAATAATTTTCCAGTGGGATTATATATATAGTATGTGTATCTAGCTAGTGAGGTGTCATGCCATTTAGTTTTTAATATTGATGCGAGAAATGGACATATATTTTTAAACTAATATATTAATTCTTTAAAAATTATTTTAAAAGAATTTTGGAAAATCATAGCTTTACAATCTATATAACTTATACATAAATATTTTAAAAAACAATACGAGGACATCAAGATTCCTAGAAAAGAAAAATAAGCTCCATAAACAATGATGCATCTACAATTTCTTCGGAGTAAATATGTATTTATTCTGAAATTTAAATATTTTGGATAATTATTTATTTTATTGATAGTGTCTGCTGTCCACTTTAAATTTTTATTTGTGTTTATCTCATTTAAAATTTTTGTGTTATTAATATATATATATATATATCTAAAAATATTTATGAATCCAACGTTTACTGATAATTATATGAAATATGAATATATACAAATATGTATATGGAAACCGTAACATAAAAAGACCTATAAGATTAGAAAAGATAACCTTAGCTTAATATAAAAAAAAACTATAAGAAGATATATTAACGGAGAATTGAAGATAAGAGGACAATGTGCAGCAATTTAGTAATATAAACTATAACTTGAAGACGGAGAGATTCACAAAATACAACACTTATCCATACAACGCTCCATACAACGCTTGCACTTATCCATACAACGCTCGGGACAACTGTTATCATCTTTAGAAGGATCTGGTCTCGGATGTAAAACCAAACCCGTTGGAGGCTCCACTCCTATATCACCCAACACCAACACAAAACATAATTAAAACACAAGAAAAAATATAATTGTCATTACCATGGATTTAAACAAGAGATAGTGGCTGTTATATAACGATAGATATATTATCCAAAACTATAATTGCTCATTGCGATATCGAAAAAGCCAACAACAGCCCCTCTATTACCACATACGAAAGAAATATATATGTATTATATTTTTTTTTATCAAAAATTACACATGAATAGATTGTTATATATATAACCCTTTAAATTAAAATAATATCATAATATTATAAATATTGATAATTAAATTTAAACACAAACTCAAAAATTAAACTCAACTCGACTCGAAAAAAATTTCAAACCAACTTTGAGTTGTAAAATAGGACTCGACAACTCAAATAACTTAAAAATTTTTTATTCGACTCGACTTGATCAAACGTTCACCTCCTACTAGAGATAAAGAGGTTGAAGACGTCATATATATCGATCGATTTTTCAAAGACGTCAAATACTTAAATCGACCGACTAGTGAGAACCACTGTAGCATTCATCCTACATGATAAAATTATTTTTTTCATTCCCCATATCATCCATTTGTGTTTCAAATATCCATCCAAGCAATTTTACCGCGATATGAACATGACACCGATGTTCTCAGCTCGTATAGATTCTATATTCACCTTTTTTTCCGGAAGCTTGATCAGAAACCTCGTGATTCTGACTAAGAGATTCATCTTTGTAGCTTTATTTTCTCCTTCATTAATGGAATGTTTATCGACTTTCAGATTGCGGTGAAGAATCCTTCATCTTCTCCATCTCCTTCAAGTTCCCTTCTTTATTTTCTCCTTCCATTGACTGCTTGAAGCAATGATTGGAAACAATATATCGAAATGGGGTTTGATTTGTGGAGGTTATGATTTAGGAAAGTTCAACACATACACAGCTTACAATAAACGCAGCTAGGTTCCCAAAGTTTATATTATTATCATTCAGTATACAACTATTGTTATATCTTAAAATAGAGTATAAAGTTTAAAAGTTAATACATGATATTCTTTTAAAACAATAATATACTTTTTATTTTATTTTGGGTAAATTAAGTGTTTAGTTCCGAAACTATTACCTTTGGTCCATTTTAATACTTAAATTTTTAATTTTTTAAAATCATATCTAAAATTTAATTTTTGTTTTATTTTAATACCCATTCAAAATTTAACATTAAATTAAAAGTTTAAACACTAAAAAGGACTAAAAAATAGACATAAACTAAAAATTAAGTATAATTTTAAAAAAATTAAAAATTAAAATACTAAAATATATCAAAAATAGTTTAAAAATTAACGTCTTTTTTCCAAATTTTATATAAAAAATATAAAAAATGTTTTCCAAAAACTTTTGTGTAAAATCTAGGGGTGTTGTGGCGAGGTGGTCTTTTTAGCTTCCCAACGTAAATTAATCATTTCAATAAGCTTCCGCCACTTAGTTGTGCGTCACTTGACCATTTCTTAATTCCAGATAATTAGAAGATTTAAATCCGTCAAATTTTCTAGAAGTAGAATCAATTTTAATTAAATAATATATTAATAGTAATTAAATTAAAGACCAGTTTCATAAGATTTTTTAAAAGTGATTTTTAAAAGTATTATAAAAAACCTTTTAAAAGTTGTGTCTAAAAATATAGTTTAAAATTTAATTGTTTGAGATTTTTCTTAAAAATTGAATTTAAAAAAATATATATAAATAATAGACATTATATATTAAAAATGAAATGAGTTTAAAATTTATCTGTTTGGGAAATTATTATTATATACGAAATATAATAATTTAAAATAAAAAATAAAAAATAATTATAATTATAATAAAAATATATTTCATAATAACTCACTGTTAATATTTTAATATATAGAGAAAATAATTTCAATGACCGAAAATGCCTTATAATATACGATTTTAACCAAATTTTTTTAGATTTACGAAAATGACCAACAAATTCGCAACGCGAACTCCAATTTCGCAACCCAGTTTCCAAATTCACAACGCGAATATGTGAATCGCATTGCGAATTTGTAAATTGCAACGCAAATTTGTAAATCGCAACACAGAAGTCAAAGCGCGTTTATTTTCGCAATATTAATTTCGCAACACAAATGTAAACATTATTATTGTAAATTATAACCTAAAAACCCTAAATCACAACTCAATCTCATCTCTATCTCTCACTCTCTACAGCGACATCCGTCCCCATCTCCGACGAAATCCGTTCCCATCTCCGACGAAATCCGTCTATCTCCATCTCTCATAGCAACCCTCACAACCATTCACGGTCAGAAATGGAAAATCTAACACCGAGAGTTAGTTTTTTTAATCTCTTATTTTTATTTTGAATTTTTTGTATTATTATTAGATTTTTTTTATATTGATGATAAATTTACTGGCAATTTCAATATATAGATTAACCATTTCACTTAGATTGCTTAGTAAATTCATTCGGTTGCTGCCAATACTGCTAAACTGTTTAGTCTTTAACCTTGTGAAGTTAGTATTTGTCTTTGTTTTGTCTTTTTGATGAAGAAATGCAATTCATTCAAGTTTTAATTTGTAGAATAATAGTTTTTGTCATTGCGATTTTCATTTTCGCGTTGTGATTTTATCGTTGCGATTTTCATGTTCGTGTTGCGATTTTCATTTTCGCGTTGCGATTTTCATTTTCGCATTGTGAATTTAAGTTTAAGAAATTACTCTTCCTCTGCAAATTGAAACTTGAATGAATTGCATTACTTCAACCAAAAAACAAAGACAAATACTAACTTCACAGTGTTGCAAATTTAAGTTTCAAGAATAAACTACTACTCTTTATGTTGTCCTTGAACCTGCACTAAACCTATATATGTTGTCCTTTTAAATGTTTTATAAGTGCTTACTTCTGGAATGTTATCTGATGCATTTTGTGAACTATGATGGAATAATGACCTGGGTGAATACCGTGCTAGTTTGAATTATATTTGGCTTTGTTTTCACTGTTTAATATCATGTCTGTTTTTAGTGTAGAATTTGTAGTTTTTGGTATATCTAACTTGGTATGTTTATTGTTTTTGTAGAAATTTTTTTGGCTCAATTGACCTAAGGAATAAATTAAGCCTAGAACCTAAAATTGCATCGACGCTTACACCTCTACAAAGAAAATTGTTTGAGGATACTTGCTTCGGGCCATGGCTTAAAGTACAACATCCGGGTGGAGATGCTATGTTAACACATTTGTTTCTTCAGACCATGACTAACGATCTACCCGAGAGGATACAACGTGGTGATTAAGAGATATGGTTTCATTTTCCTCCGGCGTATACTTGTTTTGGGCGGGAGGAGTTTTGCTTAATCACTGGTCTACGCTTCGAACACGATGAAGTAACCCAATACAGTAGTCATATCTCCCGCCCATCATGGTTATCTCGGGTTTTTCTTGAGCTGGCAAAGTCGAAGTCGAGTTTACACGTCGACGACTTGAAGAGATTATTTGTTAAATATGGTTTTACTTGGATTGATGACCTTGATGTTGTCCGAGTATGCCATTTATTACTTTTGCTTGTCGGCTTTTTAGGCAAAGAGGGCAGACAACCTATTTCTGAGGACCTAATATTATTGGTAGAGGACCTAAATGCATGGAACCTGTTTCCGTGGGGTTCATATCTATGGAAAGCTACCTGGAAGAAGTTGTCGTCTACCTTTGAGGACCGAAAAAGTTTATGGGGCGATGGTTCTAAATACACTTTGGCAGGCTTTATTTGGGCCTTTAAGGTAAGAATTTCTATATAATGTTTCCAAATTTATAATTAATTATTTAACAATTACTGATGTTTGTGTATTATATTGTTTGTAGATTTGGATATTTGAGGCTTTCCCCAGCATGTGGGCATATGCGATAAAAAAATCAAATGATATTCCTAGGGCTATTATCTGAAAGAGGATCCTCCTGTTGGATTGGGAAGAGTTACTCCCATATACGACGATGAATTATGTAAGTTAGCACACAAATATTACCATATATAAACAAGTTATTACTAGTACACATTTAACTTTGTTTGAGCTTTTATATTGTTAGGAGGCCAACTATCCATTACAGAGGTTGACACCCACAGAGGCTGAGCTTGTCACTGATTGGTGGCAAGCTAGTAAGCGGTTTTTTGATGGGACGGATGATGAGCACCCCCTACTTCGAGAGCCATCACCTGATCGGGCCGATTCTATAGCTCGACACCCGGAGCCATCACCTGATCGAGCCTCTTCTCTACCTCCACCATCACTTATTCCATCATATCATCGAGCATCTTCTCCACCATCACCTCATGATAGGCGACCGAAAAAGAGGCCACGACATCTATCTCCTTGTTCTCCACCTCTACGGGATGAGTTAAGGAGTTACGTGATGAGGTCGATGCTTTGCGTCATGAGGTCTGTACTTTACGTGAAGATAATGGTACGCTACGTGATGAGGTACGGTCTTTACATGGTGAAGTGGATGTTTTACGCGATAATAATGGTGCGCTACGTGGTGAGGTATCTACTTTACGTGATGAGGTAGCCGCTCTACGTGAGATTATTTCATCGTTGCAGAATGAGGTTCATACTCTACGCAATGAGGTAAATTTGTTTAATACTATACTAAAAATGCAAATAACCTTTTTTCAGAATTATTTATTTATTTATTTACTAATTTATGTATTAATTTATTTTCAGCGACCCGATAAGGTAGATGCTTTACGTCGGGTTTTTCTTACATGACAGGGTTCACGCATCAGACGTCGTCGTGCACGTGCCATTACGTCTCCTTTCACCCCACTAGTGTCAAGACTCTGTAAGAAGAAGCCCGATGCACCTGTCATCATTCAAGAGGTGCCTCCTATCGTTCAAGAGGCCCATCTCATTGTTCAAGAGGCCCCTCTCACCGTTCAAGAGGCTCCTGTCATCGTTCAAGAGGTCCCTCCCACCGTTCAAGAGCCCGATTCACATGGCATCATATGTCGACATATTGATAAACCCCCTCCCGTGCCCGATATGATGGATGCGAGTTGGCTTTCGTATGTGTTACCGGCCAGTACCATTCCTCAGCAGGAGAGGGGAACACTACTGGACACAATTATGGATAATACCCTTTGGGCTAAGACCGCAATTGATTTTTATCTACATGAGCAGAGAAAGGGGTGTTATTCTGACATATGCAAACTCGACGATGTTATTCATTTGTTTCTTGATCGGTCTTGGTGGGGTATTTTATTAGGGGTTGAAGATAATTGCTATCTCGAAGGGGTGGAAAGTCTTATATTATTTTTATATTGCATTTTGATTAATTTTTTTTAAATTTATTAATAAATTCACTAATATATGTATTTTTTTTATAAAACAACATATTGATGCATGGGTGTCACGTCTTCTAATAATAAGGAAACTGAAGAAAATAAAAAATACTCGATGGACTATTATGCCGACGACTTTTCACGTAGCTCACTTGAAGGATCCGAGAGATGCTTCATATATGTTGGGAAATGGAAAAGCTAAACTTTATCCTGCGTGGTGGGAGGTCGATAAGGTTAGTATTTATTTTTTTGAATATTTTAAAGGTGTTTATCCATATTTTGGAATGTCTTTTATTTGATGTGTGCAATTATTTATGATTGCAGGTGTTTATCCCTATTTTGGAACGTCGTCATTGGCTTCTCCTTGAGATTCAGCTCCTATCCCTGAAGACAATAGTATATGACAGCATGTTAAATTACATACCATTGTCTTATTTGAGAGATATTATTTGTAAGGGATGGAGCGCTCATTTGGCGAAATACTTGAATGCAATTGATTATTGGACTAATTCTGGAAATAAGAAGCCAAAAAAGTTTAAAGTTACAATGATCAGAGACGAGACCGCGCCACAACAAACGGAGGGAGCCAGAGGGGATTGTG